TTTTCTGTCGATATATCGTTTTTGATAGTTTAACCTTTGAGTTTCGCAAATTTGAAGAACGTCTTCTTCGATTCGCATCGATCATTCTCTGCGATAAGAATAAGAATCGACGATGAAATTCGTTTATCCAAGATTTCCCATCTATCTTCACTGTTTTCACCAATTGATATGTAACTTTATAATTTGTGAATCGAAAACATATATATCGTTCGCAAAACCTTTTTCATTTTGATGAAATTTACATCGAATCGAGCTGATCCAGAAAAGTAATTTATTAGTGTAATTTAATCTTTCCTTTTTATGATAACATTTTATACGATAATATTTGATTCGTTCCATTTGATAATATCGCTAAATTTATATTGATGACGCGAATGAGAATTTGAATTAGATCATATATATTCTATGACCGTTATTCGTAAAATTATTTTGTCAGTAAGATTAATAAAATATTAACGAATTAACGTTTCGAAATTGATCTAAAGTCCACTGATAAAAATATCGCACAATTGATAAAATTATACATATCCATGCAATTTTCGATGATAAATGATATGGTGGAAAAAAAAAAGGAAAAATTTTGTTTGAAAAATCTTGAAAATGACCTCGAAGGAGTTAAAATTATATTTAAATCGTCGTGAAAATACATAATAACGTAAAAAAGTTTTTATTTTTTTCATTTTTTTTCAAAGAAAAGTAAAAATTAGAAAATATAAAAATAGTTAAACAATATTAATTTTCTAATAGATTATTGTGAAATAATTTCTCGAAAACACTTTATCAGAGGACAATTATATAAAAATTATATAATTATATACAATTTGAACAAGGCTATATATATATATTCCTCAAGAATCGGATAGCAAAGATTTGGCATTTATGAATTCGGTCGAGCCTATTGTAATCCAGATAGACTGGTGCACACGCGATTATAGAATTAGCTACCAATCTGGAGGCTATTTTCATTGGTAGAGCAATGCTCTCGTTCACGATGAAACCTCGGATGACGTCCTTTTTAACTTCAGTCCGTGATAATGATGACGTTAAGGAAAGTGACGTGAGGTGAAGAAATATTTCTTACGTTATAGATCTTGCTCACCTCGGCTCTCGAATTGCCTGTTTCTGTCTATAAACTTAAATTTTTTACCAAGAATTGTAAATAATTTAATTACTATTGCGAATATTGTCTCGCTTGTTGTGTCGTTGGTTGAAAAAGATACATCTTCTACGATATGCGATATCCTGAAATTTTCGTTTATTATTGGGTCGTGAAAATCATAAATCCGAATAATAGAGAATCTCAAGGTGAAGTTAATAAAATAAACGGGAAGGATAAATTGATTTCTTCTTCATGAATAAACGCTTGTTTAGTCGATAGTAAATGGATTTGCATAAAGTATGAAACGTTTTCAATTTCAAGGTTTTCAAGGTAATATTTAAATACAAATTGATTAGAAATCAAATTATTTATTATGTTTTTATATCAATTCAATTTACATTATTACATTATTATCATCATTGACCGTTTACCGAGTGTTATCCTAATTTTTTATTCTTTGTGTTTTGTTTCTCGATAAATTCAGCCTTGTCCTATATTATTTATACCAAGTATTATTTATACCAAGTATTTATAACTATATATATATATATTTATAAGTATATATATTTATAACTATATATATATTTATAAGTATATATATAATAATTCGTAAAATAGCAAGTAAATTGCAAAGTACAATTTACATTCGATAGATATATTGTAAGTAGTAAGTAGTTTTGCAAATGTCAGCCATTTTGACTTTTTCCTTGCTACGTAATTTCATCATATTTTCTTCTCGAATGGCTTATTTCCGTACTTCGATCGTATTTTTCTTATCTCTAACATTTATCGAAGATTTACGAATGCAACTTCATATACGACAAACATTCAAAATATCCTATTTCTTCACTGAACTTCACGATGGAACTTTCCTATGAATCTTTTCCTAAAGATTAATAACGTTTTTGTATTATTATTTAAAACTCGTTTAAAATTAATTTGATGAAAAGTTAAAATTTTAAAAATCGTTTTCACTTTGTACACACTGTACACACTGATATACCGCAACCAACGAATTGTATCGAGATAAAATTGCAAATTTAAAAGGAAGAGCGAGCGAACTACGAGTTTAATCGATAATATCAACAACGTACAAGAACGTGTGTACATAATACAAGAATATACATTACAGTGAAAAAGCAAAAGCGGAAAATATGAGAAGTTTGGAAGCATAATCGAGCGTTAAGTTAGATTAAAAATTCGAATTAAAAATTAATAGATCGATCGCATTTGTCCATTTTCCATATCTTATTACTCTGAGTAAGAGGAGCGATGCTCTATCAGTCTCGTAACGTTAGTTCCATTTGTTATTCTCTACGATAGAGTATGCAGAAGGATGCGAAAGGTCACGACACGCCAACCAGATGGACAGCTGATAGAGGCTCGACCTGGCTTCTTTCCTCGTAAAATGGGTTAGAAGCCATTTCTACGATCAGGAAGTGACGTTACGGTTGAGACCGTTGGCACGATATTCAAAGCTTCTTCGTGTTCAACGTGTGACTTTAATCTCGTAAAATGGGCGGAAAGGCCTCGAACCTTGCTCTTTTTCCGCATCATTCATCTTTTACCGCTTATTATCTCTGTCTCGTTAACCTATCGTTGTAAAGAATGTTGTAAAGGAAACTAGTTTTATTTTTAAAACGCAATTAGAGGAAGAGGATAATAAAGGATCGTGCGTGTGTAAAATAGAAAGGAGAGTGGAAAAATACAAGTTTGATAAGGTAGCTAGCTCGATCAACGTATCACATGATACGGTAATTTCGCGTATAATTTCAACGTGGACGATGTAAATCTCGTACGAGGAATTCGTGGTTGATATCGCGGAGCTTAGTCGTGACGAGTCTCGGGCGAGAAAGAAAAAAAAAAA